TAACTACATTCTTAAAATAAAATACAATGTGAATTTGATAGAGAAGTTATTCCTGTCCGGATGACAAAGCATTTGAACTAGAGAGAAATGCTATTTAAACACTGATCTTTATTTCATTGTTTATTCACATTTGCACTGTACGTAGGATGTATTAAAGATATACAGCACAAACCTACAAATTATATTTTATGATTGAATTTACCTCGTATTTATTTGGTGTTTACCTATGCAAAACAGCTTCATAGAGGAGTCCAAAAAGTTAATAGCAGTTAAGAAAAAGTGTTTAGAAACTCCAGTGCACAGCTTGGTGATAAGAAAATGTGTCAAAGTAAACCAAAGCAAGTAATCCCTTGTAGTTGACCTTTTTTGAAAATTGGAAGTTATTTGGGAAACATCCTGATGAAAGTCTAAGGCAAAGTTAACTTACAGAATTAAATGCTTTGTATATCCATACATATGTTTCTAATCCCCAGTAGGCTGATGCTCCTTGGGTACCAATTGGCTGGCAGTTGGCAAACCCAAGATGGAAGGCCCAGGTGCTTACATTTATGCTTACACTGAGTCCAAGTGCACGTCTGTGCTCGCATGTTGGGCCATGTCCTGAACTGCTTCCATCATTTGGATGAAAGTAAACAGTAGGTAGTATCTGACGTAGTTATGTTTGGAAGAGTTCTCAATTAAATGAGACATTGTGTATGAAGTGCCTGGCAAATAAAGAGCCTAATGTTAGCTTTTAAAAAATTCTGCTCTTGCATTGTTTGAAACCCAAAAATAGCGTTGCAAGCTGCATTTCCAACCTAGGACTATTTGCAAACATTTTATTCAAGTATCACAGGAGACAGAGTTGGGATAAGAAGGAAGTTGGAGTTAATTTTGCCATATTCCCTTTTTACAGCCCTGAGCTCCCTTTAAAATTAGCAGTCTCCGGTAGATTTCTGATAATTTTATCAGACTTGCAAACTAAATATACAGTCTACGTGTCTTTCTTAGGTCGAATGGAAAAGGAGAGCAGTTTACCAAGATGAATGGCATAAATGACAACATCCTGCTAAATAAATATCTCAGGTGAATTCCTATTGATAACAAAAGCACAGTGACTATATTCTCATAAACCAACACAAAGATCTACAGGCCATGGAGAAAGCTTTAGTCCTTTTTAGACATGCTGAAAACTAGAGAACATTTTTTTTTTCTTTCGGGGTCATAGACTCACAAGTTAAAAAACAATAAAGGGTCACGAAAGCATTTAAGAAGATTTAGGGGCTGGGGGTTTAGCTCAGCGGCATTAGCGCCTGCCTTGAAAGCAGGCAGTAGTGAGTTCGATCCCTGGTACCGGTAAAAAGGAAAAAGACAAAAAAAAAAAAAAAAAAAAGAAGATTTAACTTGGTTATTAATGCATTGTTAAGAGTAAGTAAGATACAAAATCTTCAATAAATGCTGTGAAAGGATAAGAAACTCTTCAGGGGGGAAAGTAACTCAGGAAGGGAAAGAAAAAATATATAAATTTGTATATATACACATAAGATAGCTAAAATGATTGTACTACTAATTCTGTTAGTTCTTGGAACAAAACAGCTAACATTCATGGGATCAGGTCAATTTTGAGTGTTTATATCTGGTAATCTGAGTAACTCTTTTGAAGATAACTGTGCAAAATGACCTTAATTATGTTCCTAGCACCTTGTTTTAAAAGCCTATATTATTATTGTTTTGGGCTCTTTGTTACTGTTATTTGTCTCTTTTGTATCTTGTTTTTTGTTTTGCTTTGTTTTGTTTTCCCCTCTAATACAGAAAGGACAGATGTACATGTATAGGCTTATACATGCCTAGAACTCTCCTAAAGAGTTTACAAGAATTGATTTTATTATGTGTGATTGTATCAACAGCTACTTAGAAGAGAACAAGACATTATGGTAGCCATTGCTGATTTTCTATCATCTGGCTTTGAAGTTCAGTAATGTTTTTATTCTTTGTTTTGATTGGTTTTAGTCTGTTTTCTATTATTTAATTTCAATATGTGTGAAGGTATAGACAGCTATTTTGAAGAGAACAAGACACATTATGGTAGCCATTGTTGATTTTCCTGTTGTCTGTTTTGAAGGCCCTGTAATGCTTTCATTCTTTGGATGGGTTTTAAACTATTTTGTTTTGTTTAAATTCATTGCAGGTGAAGATATGGATGATATTTCAAAGAAAACAAAAGACACGGTAGCCACTGCTGATTTCCCGTTCTCTTATTTTGAAATCCTATGTTGCTTGCATTGTTTTGTTTTGATCTGCTTTGTTGTGTTCTGTTTTGTTTTATTCTCTTTAAAAAAATTTAAAAAGACATTAAGGGGCTGGGGATTTAGCTCAGCGGCATAAGCACCTGCCTTGCAAGCAGGCGGTCGTGAGTTCGATCCCCGGTCCCGATAAAAATGAAAAAGACAAAAAAAAAAAAAAAAAGACATTAAAAGTGAAATTTCAATGATTTAAAAAGTAAGAATGTCAGGTGGGATTATAGGGTTTCAACTCAGTGATAGAGCATGTGCCTAGTGTATGTGTAGCCCTGGAGTTGATCCTCAGCACCAGAAAAAAAAAAGTTAAGAACAAGATAACCCAAAATTTTATTCAATATGTGCCCAATGCTGGGAATATTTTAAGTGGGGGAAAAAAGGTGAGAAACTTGGAAAGAGATAAAGGAAAAGATTGAGATCAACAGAGAACCAAGAAGGGGAAAAACACAGGACAGGTTTGGTTTTTTTTTAAAATTTATTTTATAATACTCCTGCAATATTTCATCTTTTTCAAAAATCATATTTTTTCTTGCAAGCAGGTGGTCGTGAGTTCAATCCCCGGTACCAATAAAAATAAAAAGATTTTTAAAAAAAGAGTATTTATTATAACTATATGCTATTTTCCCTTGAAAATTTTACTGGGTCTTGTTATAGTTTGTGTCTGTACTCCCAAATCCTCATATGGTCATGGGGATGGGGGTGGGCTTTTTGGAAGTAGCTGGAGCTAGAGTTTGTGACTGAATCCTAGTGCAATGCAGGGATTAAGAGTGTGAGTGCTGGGGCTGGGGATTTAGCTCAGTGACATAAGCACCTGCCTTGCAAGCAGTCGGTCGTGAGTTCGATCCCTGGTACCGATAAAAATGAAAAAGACAAAAAAAAAAAAACAAAAAAAAAAACAAAAAAAAAACCAAAGAGTGTGAGTGCTACACTCGGCCGAGGGTAGCCTACATACAATATAAGGGAAGGAAAGAGGCTTGCTCCCTCCCTCCCTCTTACTGAGTTTGCTGTCTTCTGCTGCCACAAACTGTTGCCTCTCTGCCATGTGCCACCCTACCTTGTACTCAACTGATTATAGACTCAAACCTCTACTGTTGGGGCACAACTGTAACATAGGAACACATTTATAAGACAGCAGACTTATATATAGTTCACGGTCAATTAGAAGTCCCTGACTAAGTGTCTGTTCTGCTATTTCTGCTAAATTCAATTGACCTTGACAGTGTCTACAGCCCAGCTGAATACCTCTGATGAGCAATGAGTCAGAGTAACTGTCTATACCTTAAGGCACCCTGGGCTAATTCAAGGGCCTGTGACTATGCTCACTCTCTAAGGTCCCTTTTGTGTTCCCAGAGTGTTTCTATATTAAAATAAACAATCCCTTTGTTTCAAGACTAGCCTGCCTGTCAGTATATGACTCAAGGTATATAATCAATTATGTAACATTTAGTCACTTGCTTTGTATCTCCCACTTCTAAATTTTATATAAACTAAACTCTTCCTAAATTCAGCATTGTTGCCCTTGAGGAATTATCTCACAACACTCCATTGGCGTTAAGATCCAACAGTCCTGCCTTCTTATCTCCTTGGTGCAAAGAGTCTTCCTTTGGTTTGGTTTGGCTTGGCTTGGGAATTTTCCTGCAACACTACAAACTGTGAGCTAAATAAACCTTTCCTCCTTTAACTTTGGGTGTTGGGTATTTTGTCCCAGCAATGAGAAAAGTAACTCAGATGAGTTTGTCACTGTCCAACTAAGTTTTTTACAATGCTGAAAATGTTCTGTATCTGTGCTGTCTTACATGGTAGCCACATGTGACTACTGAGTACATGAAATATGCTACTATAATATAGCAAGGGAATTTTAAGGTTTTTTCAAAAATAAATAACCACATATGGCTGTCTTATTGGACAGTGCAAATGTAAGGGACATTTACAGTGGAAAAGAAATTGGTCTTAAGGCAATGTGTAGATGAATAAGCACTGATAAAATTAAATGAGTGAATTATAGCCTTTCAGCTGATATTCTTCCTTTCCTAAAGTGTTTCCTCTCCTTATCATATACAAAAAGTACTCAACAGGTAGTATTATTGTTATTAGTTACTACAGTCATGTACTGTATAACAAGGTTTTGATCAGTGATGCACCACTGTTGATCTAGGCATGCCCGTGCACAGCTGCAATCCCAGTGTCTCTAGTGGCTGAGGCAGAAAGACTGAAGGTTTGAAGCCAGCCCGAGCAATTTACCAAGACCGTCTCTACTTAAAATCAAGAGGAGTGGGGATATAGTTCAGTGGACCTTGGGTTCAGTATCTAGTGCCATCATAAATACATACATAAGTAAAAAAAATAAAGGAATTGAAATATTTTCATCACTATTGATGCCTGCCTTCTGCCTCAATCTCCTGACTAGCTGCGATTTCTTTCTTTCTCTCTCTCTCTCTCTCTCTCTCTTTTTATTTTTCATTTAGAGGGACCAAGAATACAATTCAGAGGCATAGCATGTGCCTGGCAAGTGTGAGATCCTGAGTTCGATTCCTGGTACAAAGAAAAAAATCATTTAGAGTATACTTGTTGTACTTATAAAAAATTTATTACGAAACAAAACGCTGTTGCTTAAGGAGCAGCCTCATACATCTTGAGTTTGCCATCTCTTGATTGCATAATTATTTCTTGCATTTGAAGTAAGCATGTTGTGTTCATTATGTCTCTAGGAGCGATAGTGAATTATATACATACACATATAAATGTACATATGCATATACATTGTGTAGTCTATGTGTAAAATAGGCATCTAGACTAGGTTTGCATAAGCATACTATATGATGTCTGAAAAACAAAATCTCTGGGTTAAGTGAAGCATGACTGTACTATCAAAACCAATCTCAGAACACAGTGATCTTGCTTTAGGGATGTGTCCAATGTATTTAGATGCATTATTATTTGTGCGTTATGTCTAAACCTCCATTATTACAAAATAAGCAAAGTCTTAACATTCACTGACCTTTAAAGAAACAGGATGAGGATGATGAAAATTCTCATACAAGCATGCTGTGCTTGGCTACTTCGTTGACAGTCTGTCTTTTTCTTGTTTGCAATCTTTTAATTACTGCCTATTTTTTCTAGGTGATGAATCCTCTTTGAGGGAGTAGAAACAAAATCAATGGCTGATGTTGCAGTTAAAACTCAGCTAGGTTGGGCTGGGAATTTAGCTCAGCGGCATAAGCGCCTGCCTTGCAAGTGCGTGGTCGTGAGTTAGATCCCAGGTACCGGTGTAAAAAACAAAACCAGGGTAAGTGTACATGGTATATCTATCTGCTTGATTTTTAGTAACCTGAGCAACAAGGCTTTTGCGAAGTATTCAGTACTTCATGCTGTCATTTTCATTAATAAGTAGCTATCAGCAGTTTGAGTATTGTACTAGTACTGCTCGGCATCATTTGATTACTTTCCAGGGGCTATCCATTTTCTTCAGTAATAATTAGCTCTTTTACTGGGAAACCGTGAATGTTTTCTTTGGTTCTTGGAAGAGCTACATTTTGGATCTCATATAATTTTCAAAAGTGAAAGATGTGGAGTGTGAATGAATCACCATTTAGTCACAGAGCAATCACCCTACTGTGTTGCACAGTAGGTCATCGATAATCGAATAAGTTATGAAGAAAAAGTCACTTGTAAAGGCAGTCAGCTTTCCATAAAAGTGTGCACTAGGGTATCTCAAAAATACTTTTTAAACTAAGTCCTTCGTGTTGACTACTTTTGGACCAGGATAAAAATTTTACCCACACCTTTCATAGTGATTTGAAACCAGTGCTTCCACTGACCTCTATGTCCAATGATCTGTCCAAGAATCTTTTCTCTCTTCTCAATAACGATCAACTGCCTGCTGCTCTCAGCCACAGGTAGCCTGGGGCAAAGGGCAAGAGGTAGGACTACAAGCCACCCCTGCATCATTTCTCTTCTACGTTAGCAGTCGCCAAGACTCCTGGCATTCCCCCGCTGTCAGCGCCAACGTAAAATAAGCACTCTGGTCACAAGCCAGCGGCGTAAGACTCAGTGTGCTGCGAAAGAACTCCGCTTCCGCGTCGGCAAGCGGCGTGGGCTGTGACGTTGCCACGCCCTGACGTCAGGCCGACGTGCAGCGCGGTCACCCGGGAGACCGGGAAAGCCGTTGGTGCCGGCGGAGTCCTGGTCTAGGTGAGAGACAATGGTTTTCCTCAGTCCCTAGACGACCTGGTCCGCCCGGACGCAGTTCCGGAGCGGAGGCGTGCTGGTTCCCGCGAGCCCGCTGGGCTCAGCGCTGCCCGGGAATGTGAGGCTCTGCTTTCTCACCCCCGCTCCCTCCTCCTAACCTTCCGGCAGTGTCTGGTCCCGAGGGAGCCGGGTTAGCAAGGAACAGATTTCAAAGCCCTTCTTCCGCTGTGTCTGGCCCTGCAGTTGGTTTCCATTTGGAAATTCCTGCTGCTTCAGGAAAGTCTTAGACCGTGAACTCCCGTTTCCCCTGTCCCTGACCTGCTCACTGTGGGTGATTCACGCCACGGGAATGGTTCTTTACGAAAGGGCCTGAAAGCTCAACGTGAATGAATGATCCGACGTGACACTGGTGCGAGGAAGGGAATCGGAAGTGAACACTGAGGATGTTTCTGCATTCAAAAAACAAACCTTTTCGTGGTCGTGTTAGAGACCAGGTTCACACACGCTGATGTAACTAGCTACGTATCACTTCACCTCTTGCCAAAGGGCAGTCTCCGTGTGTGTTGTAAAAGATCCTAAGAGAAAACTTGCTTGGTAAAACCCTCAGTGTAAAAATAAATTAAAAGTTACAGTTTTACCAGTTGCTAAACTGGAAAGAACTTGAGAAACCAAGTATTTGTGAAAGCTTTTCATAGATATGCAAATCTTCCCATAAGGACTCAGAAATGCCATTTCTTCAAAATGTAAAGTTGATGACGAAGCAGTGAACATTAAGGAAAGTAGAGCCTCATCTCCTTGTCACTTGGGAAATTTAGCCTAGGTGCCTTAGTCGTAATCAATTGCATAGCCAACTTTGTGCATTCCTTAATAGAAATTAAATTAGCTAGCACAGATGATTACCCTAAGGATCAGTTGAATTTAAGATTCACTATAAAAGAATACATTACATATCAAACTGTGTTGTTGTCTTAACACCAGGGGAAGTTACCCATTTTCTTGAAACATGTATCTAATGGTTACATACACGAGTCTTCTTGGTTGTGTAAAATGGGATTTGTTTGTAATCTAGTGAGCAGATTGGTGTGTTATGCCTTAAAATCTAGTTCAGTACTGTAAATTTTTTTCTACATGCAGAGAGTTTTCTAATAACAGTATTTTAATTTCTGGTTTTTGCTCCATAACCTGCCAATTCCTCTTGTTGATATTAGTAAAGTCATAAATTGGAATGGTCTCTCAGACAATAAAAATACTAAATAAAAATTGTTCCAATGATGCTTTGTTTGGATAATCACTCTGATCCATGTTTTCTTTCTTTTTTTTTTTTTTTTTTTTTTTTTGTCTGTACCAGGGATCGAACTCACGACTGCCTGCTTACAAGGCCGGCACTTATGCCGCTGAGCTAAATCCCCAGCCCCCTCCATGTTTTCAAAGACTTTTATAGGTGCTATTTTTAAGGTGAGATTTAGTTGGAAATATCAGAAAAAAAAATTGGACTCCTAGTAGAATTAAAACTGTTACTTTTTATTTTACCAAAAATGAGTCCACTATAAAATGGCAGCAATAAGAAAAAGAGGCTTCCAGTCTCTTGCCACGTGACTTGACAATCTGCCACACATGAGCTTACATGATTAACCCTATGAGCCCATGTGGGCATAGTTCATTTTACCCCAATGGTTGGCTTTCGTTAGCTTTACCAGATACTCATATTGTTTTACGTGGTATGACAGTTCATTAATTATTTTTGTTTTTGTGTTTTTGAGACACGGTCTCACTGTAAAGCAAGCTGAGCCTGAGCTACGTAGTTGGCTTTGAACTTGGAGTGATCCTCTTGCCTCAGCTTCTCAGTGTGAGTGCCTGAGCCACCATGCCCAGTCGGTTGTTTTAAATAGAGACTCAATGAAGTCACTAACAGTGGATGAAGAATCCTGTTTTCCACCAGTGGTTGCACACTTTACAAATATAATGTCACTGTGTTTGTTTTGTTTTGTTTTGTCAACTCCAGTTTTCCTGCCACCTTTATTGTGGCTAGAGTTGGTTTCTCTCATACAGCACTGTGCATCTCCAGTCTTTCCTGCTCTGATCAAATGCGCACAATCTCAGGAAGCTTTCAGTAACTCCCTACCACCACCTGAAAGAGAAGACATTTTTCTTTCTGAACTCTTTGACTGCTCTTGTCTGTAACCCTCCTCTCTCAGGCCTTCTTCCCTGCTCTGGAACTATGTGCTTATGTCATCTGACTCTGATGCACACCCTCCTCTCTGATCTACATAAACATCCTTCTCATGAAACCACTTTGGGAAGAGTAAAAACAAAAGCAAAAACTGTAAAGTGCTCCTTCATTTATTTTCTGGTTTTGTGAGAGTAGTGATAGAGTTTCATATGCAGTTATTTTTATTAGAAAATGAAAATCTGTTAAAAGTGAAATATCTGTATAAAATTATATAAATATCCTTCTTAGGTAAAATTGGCATTTGACTTCTGGTATTTTGACAACTTTTGTTCATTGTTTTCATACATATTTAACTTGGTGACTAAATGTTTTTGTACTTCACTGAACTGGCTTTGATGCCATAATTGCTTTTCTTATCTGTTGAAAGAGAATAGTATATTTAGATTTTTCCTAGCAGCTTTTTAGAAGAAAAATATAAAAATACTAGATTAAATCAGTCTATTTAAAATTTTAAGTTTCTCTGTATACAAAACAAATAACCAGTAGTAAACCTTAACAGAAATAACTATTGAACTACGAAGTTGTACCAAAATAGGAAATAATATTAATTCATTAATCTCCATCTATGATTTCTTGTTCTGTTGGCCAACATAATAGAGAAAACCCCAGTTGCACCTTTTAACCTTGAGCTGATGAAACAAACATCTGTTGAAACAATTACCACCATTCAGTTACTCCTAGGAATTTATAAATCATCTGAATTTGAATTTTCTTCATGTTTTTTCATGTTTTCTTCATGTTTTTTCAATGCTAACAATTGCCTTCAATGTTTGTAGATTATTTTGCTTCAGAGCTCTGTCAATATATTTTGGGAAATTATGGATCGTCACTATCCCATGCATGCTTTACCTGAAGAAATCCAAGAGGTATGATATTACATTGTATTGTTACAGTGTAGTATTAAGAATATTTTAGCAATTATATAATTCTGAAACATAGGGCAGTGAATTTAGAGGTTTTACATTTGTTTCGGACATAGACTATGCAATGAATTGGTGGAGTGGGAGAGTTAATATTACAATGGACACAATTGTGGAGTTTAATGCAAAGAATATTTATTCCTGTGAAAGAAGACAGTTATGGGGCTGGGGATTTAGCTCAGTGGCATAAGTACCTGCCTTGCAAGCAGGTGGTCGTGAGTTCGATCCCTGGTACCGATAAAAATGAAAAAGACAAAAAAAAAAAAAAAAAAGAAAGAAGACAGTTATGATTACCACCAAGTGTTTGACTTAGTAGTTATGGAGGCCTTGTGAAAAGAACCTAGAAACTTACATGATGCAAAATTTCTGACTATATATTATATACTGGCATAAGTACTTTCACTTTTGCCAGTTCTTACCAGGCACTTTTTAAACTCTTTATATAAATCAGCCATTTAATCTGGCTAAAAGTCTTCCAATGTCAATGCTCCTCTCCTCCTTGTTAATTTACATCTGTCCTTAGGCAAAGCGTTTTTTCCCCCATTTAGTTTGGTCATCCACACATAGTTATTAAAATAAATTTAAAATAGCTCTTTAAAAATGATTGACTTAAATTGTGAGACACAACCCCAAACCTTAGATATTACTCATCCAGTCTTCCCAGTAATTCTACCATTAATCCTTAATTAGCCACTAATTTGTTGAATTGCAATTAGAAATTATAGTCACCTTTCAGATAGACTGTAACGCATATTGCTTTGGGCTGCCTCTTAGCATTAATTATGCCATTTATTTAACTTGATCTTTATTCTTAGTGCTTGTCCTTCATATTTATGTGAACTGCAACTTAACAGGAACTGTAAGGGAAATCTGGAAAAAATCTTTTAAATCCTTGCATCTCATTTGTTTACCTTTGAAGTGTAAACTAGTAAGGACAGATAGTTCTTGGCTGTGCTTATTCATACGCACCTGAGAAATGGTGCTGATGTGTGTTTAAACACATGGGATGTCCTCACCTGAACTGAGTTCCTTCCATGTACTGGCCTCATTGTGATAGAAATTAAAAGAAACAAAACAAAATAAAAACATTGGTAAGAAGCAATACCTGCACTTTAGTTCCTAGTCATCTGTCAGGAAGAAGATATAAAATGACATTGTAAAAACAAAATACCTCTACAAGATAGTATGATTTAAGTTCCTTGTACGTGTCTCTTGTGAGAATGGGGAAGGTGGAGAAAGGATTCCTAGATGGGATGGTCAAAGGGGTTTATGTAGGAGGTAAGACAGAGGTGATCACTGAAGGCTGAGCTTTTGTACAGCTGGAGGATAAGGCAAGCCTAGCCCAATGGAACAGCAGCTTCCTAGTGAGAAAAAGCTGGTCAGTGTTTAACAGCTTTGCTGTTTTGAATACATACAGTAGGTATTTATTTTAATAAAATTTTCATGGGAATTACAGAATTTTATTCTCATGTTTGAAGTAATTTAACTGTAAATAGTTTAAAAAATATTAACACAGGCATTTCATAAATCTGCAATTATGTTCTGAAGTAGGAAAGGCAGGCAGTTGTCCAAGCAGATGTGAAGATGACCCAAGAAGTTTAACTGGTTAAATTCCTAGATAAGTGTGCTGCTTGTAGACATTTTACTATACAATGTTTAGACTGGAGAGGACAGTTTTGTACTTTTTAAGACCTAAGTTACATATTTTTTTGTGGAAAAATTATGTGCCACACATTGAGTATAAAGTAACCATGATGTGTATGTGCATCCATTTTTAATAAGCTTTTATTTTTCATAACTTCTTACTTGTATTTGGTTTATCTACATTGTCCATAGTTTAACTTATTTAGTTGTTTACTGAAGAAGCTGCATATTTATACTGCATATATTACTCTATACATAATTGTATTATATGTATGGATATACAGGTTGAGCATACCTAATCTAAAATTCAGAATACTCCAAAATCTGAAACTTTTAGCACCAACATGATCCTGTAAGGGAAAATTTCACAATTCCAAAATTTTGTTTCATATGCATCTTTATTAAAAATATATAAAATTATCTTCAGTCTAAGTGTATAAGGCATACATGAAATATAAATGAATGTTGTGTTTAGACTTAGGTACTATCCTCAAGTGTCTCATTATATATCTGCAAGTATTCAGAAGTCTGAAAGAGATCTAAAATGCTTTCAATCTTAAGCTTTCACAAAAGGGACAATCAGTGTGTATAATTTGTAGTGGTAACAAGAATAGTTCAGAGTAGAGCCAATTCACTTTTAAGGTGAAGGAAAAGTTTTTTAAATAATGGCTTGGAAAATGTTCTCCATTTCTTTATAGAGAAAAAAAGGACTTGAGGTAGGTGGATCAGTGTAGAGAGACAGAGGTCTTGCAAAGGCCCCTCCCTAAGCTTTCTTGTTCTTCTGTTAACTTTTTGTGCTGCATTATATGCTGGCTCCCCTTTCTAAAGAAGCTCCTGCTGTGTTTCCTTTTTTCCCCCTATAGATAAGGAAAGTCATTGTAGAAATCAGAGAGAAGAAGGTGAGGAGGCCCTTTCTTATTTCTTTTTTCTGTGCTTTTGTTGTGTGATAAGGAAATGGATGATACATTAGAATGTGAAAACAGCTATACTATATTGTACTGTTAAAAACAGAATAAGTAGGAGTAGAGAAAAGAAGGTTGGGAGAAAATATAAAGGTGGTGAGGAAGGTGGCCACCAAAGAACAAGTATGGATGGTAACAAAATAATTGAAACAGAAAAGTGGCTTCTGAAGCAGGGAGGTCAAGCTCTCCACATGGATGTCACACCTCTGCCTGGCTTCTCTTCACTCTCCATAAGTGCCCTGAGGATGGACTGAGACAGTTTACTTCAGTGAACTCCTGCCAGGAGGTCCTTCTGACAGGAGGTGCAGCTCAGGTGTCAGTCATGGTGCCCCATCAGGTACTCCTGCCCCCTCTCTGAGGCAGGGCTGGAAAACTGCCCCTAACCTGGCAGAGATCTGGGGAAAGATCCAGGCCCATCATTAACGTAACATCCCCAAAATTGAGGAAACTGTGGCTAACACAGCTGGCCTTCCTAGAGGTTGTTTTTAGCTCCTCCATTTTGCAGAGATGCTGTCACTGTCAGTCAAGTAGATGTTTCTCTTGAAATTCCTTGAACTGCCATGACAACTGCAGTTCCCTGTGGGAAGTGTCTACCCAGACCACAGTGGGCTTGAAGTTAAGCCAAGTAGCTGGCTCCATCCAGAAGGCTTGAACCTATGGTGTCTTAGGCCAATCTGTAGGCTCAAATATGGACCTATCTCAGGCCCGCTGCTGCTATATAAGCAATGTTACACTTACATTTCTTGGGCTGGTCTGGGCAGACCTTGCAGTAAGCTGACCTGATCTGTGGCACAGGCACATGTACAGGCCCTGTTTAAATAAAGCCTTATCCTGATGATCCTGTAAACCTAATCATGCTTTTTTTCTCAGGTAGTGTAGACTCTGAGGCCTTATAAATCCTGAGATTCTTATCCTGGGTAGTGTGGACAGAGTGATTGCTTTAAAAAAAGAACTATAAACACAAGTGGCTGATAGCCCTGAAGAGCTCCAGAGTCTAGCAGCTGACAAAGAACAGTGGCACTGACAACAGCAGTGTCTGGCAGTGACCAGCAACCGACGATATTGACTGATGGTGTCAGGCATTGACTGGCAGCAGTGTCTGGTAGCAACAAAGACTGGTGGCACGAACCAGTGGCACCAGTCAGCAATCTAGGACCCAGAGCTGTAAGACATTTGGAGTCCCAGAAGGCTGAGGGACATTGCCACTCCAAGTTTGTAGCCACCAGCAGAGCTCCATTTGGCCAGTTTGTGACTGCTATATAAATTGAGTGGGTGTTGGGGGACAGTTAAGGTGGGATGACACTCAACTGATTGTTGATGTTGCTAGAGAATCCATTGTCTGCTTAGAAGGGGAAGATTGTGAAATCATCCCCTGAGGAATCTAAAGTAATCTTTAGCTTTTGTGTCTTGGTCTTTTTTGCTGTTTTGCGTTTCTCTTTGTCTCCACTCTTTTCTTCTCCTCTCTTTTCTTTTTTTTTCTTTCTGTGCTAGAAATTGAACGAAGGAACTTCACACTGAACTACACCCCCAATGTTTTATTTTATATTTTGAGATGGTCTAGGTAAGTGGCCCAGGCTGGATATAATTTGCAATCTTCTTGCTTCTGCTTCCCAGAGTGCTAGGAGTACAGGTGTGCACCACGATGCCCAGCTTTGTCTTGCTTTTTATTGCAATTTGGGTTGTTTTGTTATGTGTGTTTTTGAAACAGTGTCTTGCAGTATAGTACAGGCTGGCCTTGCACTCACCATGTGGCCTAGGCTGACCTCAGACTCAGCCTTCTGAGTCCTGGGATTACAGCGTGGGGCACCACATCCAACTTCATCACAATTTTGGCTGAACACAGCATACAGTACTTCTCAGACTTTCAAATCCTAAAGTGGCAGAAATGTAAAAGAGGCCGTGGGCTGGAGAGAAAGACCACCTGTTGTCACCTGCTGGGCTCTGCATTTTACTTAGACCATATTTCTATATCTATTTTTGCTCTGTGCTAAAATGATTTCTACCTGTCTTTGATTATAGCTAACAGTGGTGCTAGGATTTTCATCCAGTATTCTGAAACAAAATATAGCACACTTCTCTGTTGATTTTTTTTTTTTTTTTGGACAAAGTTTAAAACTAAAAAAAATTATTGATTAGCAAAATAATAATTCTATACTTTTCCCCCTCATGAATATCAATCCATTTTAGAAATATATCCGATCTCTAGGGCAAAAAAAAAAAAAACAAACTAGTGAGCATTTTTTTTCCTTTTGCTGTTTTTGCTAGGGAACATATGGAAACATCAAAACAACAAAGTAGCAGAAAAATTAGTTTGCACAAATAAAATTGGTATCTTTTTTT